ATTAATAACAACAGTTAGCATTTTTCAAGTGCTTATCTGTGTTAGGTAATGCCTTCATATACTAATACATTATTTCATCTGCCCTTCCCAACCTTTTGAAGTCTGCATTATTATCCTCCTTTTACAGCTCAGGAAAGTAGGTTCTAGGGAAGTGAAATATGCCTACCCAAAGTCACACTGTTAAGTTGTAGTGTCAGTGTGAGTCCTGAATGTGTAAAGTAATCCTTGTCAAGATTTAAATACTATCTCATTTCTGAAATATATCTATAATACACTATAACACTTTCGAGATGTGTTTCAATGAAAGCTATACACATATTTTCCATTGATGTCAATTTCCTGGTTCTTGTATGTAAGATATAACAAACTGAGTAAACTAAGTGAAAGGTACAAGGGACTCTTGTTACCATGATTGTAACTTCCTGTGAAGCTATAATTATCTTAAAATTAAGTTACTTAAGGGGCATCTGGGTGGCTCAGTCAGTTAAAGGTGAGACTTCAGCTCAGGTCCTGATCTCAGGGCTGGTGAGTTTGAGCCATGCATCTGGCTCTGAGCTGTAAGCACAGAGCCCCACGCGGGGCTTGATCAAACTCATCAACTGCGAGGTCATGACCTGAGCTAAAGTCCAACGCTCAACCGACTGAGCCACGCAGGCACCCCTATGTAAAATTTTTTAAATGACAAAATTATAGAGATTAAGAACAGATTCGTGGTTTCCAAAGGTTGGGAGCGTGGAGAGATGGGTATGACTGTTAGTGGGCAACACAAGGAATCTTTATAGTCATGGAACAGTTGTGTATCTTGATTGTGGCAGAGGTTATACCAATCTATACATGATAAATTGCAAATAACTACACACACATACACAAATGAATACACGTAACCTGGCAAGATCTGAACAAACTCTGTGGATATTTACCAATGTCATTTCCTAGTTTTGTTAATGTACTATAGGAATGTATAATATTACCATTGAGGGAAAGTGGGGGAAGGGTACAGGGGACCCTCTGCACACTTTTGAAATTTCCTGTGATCTATATTTCAAAAGAAAAAAAATTACAGTTATGTAACAAAACACTAAAACACTTCTTATATAAAAGCTTCTTGTAAATGTTGGTTTAACATAACATTCATTGTAAAACTTCAGAAATTCTTGAAAAGTTAGAGTGAGTTGTTTTGGTTAGAATTACTGGTTTCTTTGTTCCTTTGTTTTTGAGAAGCACCAAGCTTTTCAATAGTTTCTAATATTAAACAAAAAAGATGGGGGCACTTGGGTGGCTCACTCGGTTAAGTGTCTGACTCTTAGTTTCAGTTCAGGTCATGATCTCACGTTTTGTGAGTTTCAGCCCTGCATTGGGCTAGTCCCCTGCTTGGGATTCTCTCTCTCTCTGACACTTCCCCACTCACATACCCTCTCTCAAAATAAATTTTAAAAAAGTAAAAATAAAAAAAAAAGAAAGAAAGAAAGAAAGAAGAAAGACGAGGGGTAAATAAAAATTGTTTTTAGTAGTCAACTAAAATTCTGAATTAAGTATTTGGAATTAAGGATATTGAGTTTTCCTCTTTATAGGTAATTATTCTTTTTTCTTATATATTTTTTTAACATTTCTTTTATTTTTGAGAGAGGGCAAGCAAGTGGGAGGGGGTAGAGGATCCAAAGTAGGCTCTGCACTGACAGGCTGACAGCAGAGAGCCTGACGTGGGGTCGAACTCAAGAACCGCAAGATCAAAGTTGAAGGCTCAACGGATTGAGCAACCCAGGTGCCCCTCTTTTGTCTTCTTTTAGTTAAGGTTGGTTTCACCAAACTTAAGATATTCCACAGTGGAAAACAACATATATTAAACAATACATGAAAAGTAATAATAATAAATAAGCTTACCTGGCTGTTACTACCTACCAGATACCATTATAAATTACTTCTGCCTACAAACACATTTAAACCTGAGAATAACACTTTACTACTGATTTTAAATATTCTCATTTTATATATTGGCACAACAGACACTCAGATCAATGGAACAGAATAGAGGACCCAGAAATAGACCCACAAACATATGGCCAACTAATCTTTGACAAAGCAGGAAAGAATATCCAATGGAATAAAAACAATCTCTTCAGCAAGTGGTGCTGGGAAAACTGGACAGCGACATGCAGAAGAATGAACCTGGACCACTTTCTTACACCATACACAAAAATAAACTCAAAATGGATGAAAGACCTAAATGTAAGACAGGAAGCCACCAGAATCCTTGAGGAGAAATCAGGCAAAAATCTCTTTGATCTTGGCTGCAGCAACTTCTTACTCAACAGGCCTCTGAAGGTAAGGGAAACCAAGGCAAAAATGAACGATTGGGACCTCATCAAAATAAAAAGCTCTGCACAGCAAAGGAAACAATCAGCAAAACTAAAAGGCAACCGATGGAATGGGAGAAGATATTTGCAGTATCAGATATCTGATATTTGCATATCAGATAAAAGGTTAGTATCCAAAATCTATAAAGAACTGATCAAACTCAACACCCAAAAAACAAATAATCCAGTGAAGAAATGGGCAAAAGACGTGAATAGACACTTCTCCAAAGAAGACATCCAGAGGGCCAAACAACACATGAAAAAATGCTCAACATCACTCATCATCAGGGAAATACAAACCAAAACCACAATGAGATGCCACCTCACATCTGTCAGAATGGCTAACATTAACAACTCAGGCAACAACAGATGTTTGTGAGGATGCTGAGAAAGAGGATCTCTTTTGCACTGCTGGTGGGAATGCAAACTGGTGCAGCTACTCTGGAAAACAGTATGGAGGCTCCTCAAAAAATTAAAAAAAGAACTGCCCTATGACCCAGCAATTGCACTACTAGGTATTTATCCAAGGGATACAG